GCACTGTACACAGACTGTAAGTCCCTGACCCCGAGGTGGGCACTTGAGTGGCGCCTGGCTCTCTGCAATTACAAACAGTGCTGGAGTTTTCAACCTCATACTTACATCCTTATGCCCTGGCTCTTCTGTTGTGCATTAGGCAAATTTTTTTTTTTTTGGGTCAGGAAATTTTTTTTTTAAACGCCTACTGTATGTCAGGCACAGGGCCAGGTGCTCCAAGTCTCTATAAGACAAAATCTACAAGCAGAACAGCACTGAAGGGCATGTATGTTTGAAATTGTCTGAGATCCAGCCAAACTCATCACCTTCCAGAAGCTGCCTATGTTGTATCCCTGCAAACGGCGCATGAGGCTGTCCACTTCCCCCTTCCCTGACATAGGGCATGAATGATCAGGTTCATTTTTACCCAGATCTGATCAGCAAACAACAGAGGATCTCAGGATTTAATTTGTTATTTCCCTGATTACTATGGCTGTCAGGTCCCCCCTGGCACATCTCCGGGAGCAGCCAGCTTTTGTTTTCAGCACTCGGAAGGTGAGGGTTGGGGCTATCACTTGGCCAGGGCTGGTCCATGGGGAGCTCTCTCTTGCCTAGGCCATCCCCCCACTTCCTCCTACCCTAAAGCCTGGAAACAAGGACTTCCCTCTCCTACGCACACCGCACACCGCCCTTGCCTCCGCCAGGGCCCAGCAGTTGGGGGAGGCCGCCTTCCGGTCCCAGAGAGGAAGCTTCATCCTCGATTGTTCTACGCGGGCCCGCGGCTGCAGGAAGAGGCCACATGGTCCCCTGCTGGAGCAGAGCAAGACCCCTTGGGCAAGTGGCCTCAGCTCTCAGAGGTTGTTTCCTTGTTATAAAAAGAGGACCCCATGAGGTCCTGGGGAGACAAGAGAGGAAGGGGAGCCAAGGCAGCTGTGTACAGCACCCAGCTCCACTATATCCACCCCACCGCCTGAGGCTCCTTCCCACCAGCCTCCCAAAGGGTCCTGACGGCAGGTGTCACCACATGTTCTGGCTGGACAGACCCTTCCTTGCAGGTCTCATCACTCACGGCTCTCACACCATAGGCGGGTCTGCGAAACCCAACCCAGAAGAGAGCTCAGCTCTACTACAGCAATCTTTCTGCTGACTCCGCCAGACACCGCAGGATTAATAATGCACTAGTAGTAGCTCTGCCATTGACAGGCCCATGGACGGAGTGCACGGAATGCACCAGGCACTGTGCTGAGCTCTTACCACACATCATCTCATTTATTCCTCGCAACAACCCAGGGAGGAAAGGACCATTCTCCCCACCTCCTAGATGGGAATAGAGAGGCTCAGGAGGGTTAAGAGACCAGCCCCAATTTCGCAGCATTAGTGCGGGGTCCACTAGGATCCACATCCTGCCAGACCAGGGTGTGGGGAGGTGGCACCGTCCACCCACAGTGCCCCTCTCTGGAGCTGTTCTCCCCCCCTTCACCCCCAACTAGCCCTGGCCTTGGCCTCAGCCATGCGCCAGCCTCCCTGGGGGCTCCAGAGGAGGGCAAGCTAGGGACAATGTGAAGCGTCTCCCACACAGGCTAGAAATTGTGACTTGTCACTTAGAAGGCTGTGCCAGCTGACAGGTGGCGGTTGAGGAATCGTGGAAGATGGGGTTGTGGAGGCAGGTGTCTCCAACAGTTTGGAGGGGAGGTGGCTTTTAAAGTAATGTGGGTTGGACGAACACCATATAGAATCCTGTGAAGCTGGCACGGAGAGACTCGCCATTTTATAGCTCTCGTCTGTAGGAGTCAGGGTATTACTGAGGTGGTGTGCATGATTGTTCCGCTTCAAATAGTTCAAACCCAGGATGTCATTCTAAAAAGTTCTCCTAGATTAGAGATTAATTTTAAGCAGGGATAACGTGCAGGGGGTATTACGGGCTTTGGTTAAGTATTTGGAATTAATATTTTGAATACAAGCCCATTTGTAAAGGACAGAAGCCCTCACCTTCACCTTTGCCACCTGGCTGCCCTCTCTCCGGGACCACTAAGGCCCAGGGCGTGGGTTTCATTTTAATTATTCCGATTGTGAGGGTCTAGTCTTGTGGTTCTCAGTCAGGGGTGACTCTGTACCCCTCCGGAGGACACAGGCAATGTCCGGGGACAGTTTGGCCATCCCAGCAGGGGTGGAGTGCTCCTGGCATAAGGTGGGCAGAGTCTGCAGTGCGCAGGATGGGGGCAGCTGTGGCCCGCCTGTGGTCTCTGCTCCATCCCACCTGACCACCCCTCTCTTTCTGTCATATCTCGGGGCTTATAAATATGAAAAAGCAGAGTTTGGGGTTGGGAAGCACCTAAAATGCTTCCATTTACACTCAAGAAGGGGCAGACATCGGGCTTTCTCTAAAGGAACCCTTCTCGTTTCCAGAGAGTGCTGGTTGGATACCGAGCTCTGCCCACAGATCAGAGGAGCCACATTCTCTGGTAATTCCACTTTTTAATACGATTCCACCGATTAGTACTAAGTCGAGCCGCTTCCAACTCAGGGTCTCAACCACAGGGTGATCACCCAGAGCTGTCCTCTCACGGGGAGCTCTTTCCTTATCCCCCCTGACAGCTGACACATGGCACAAAGTGAGGAGCCAGGGCCCCAGAGCCAGCGTGGTTGGTTCTTCTGCCCCTGGGCCTGAGCCCGGGAGGGATAGGTGCACATGGCCCCTGCCAGGGAGCCTTAGTCTCTGCCCTCTCTCAGGGGCTAGTCCTGCCCAGGCTGGGAGTTCGGGCCCAAGAAGGATGGGTTAGGGAACACAGGCCGCCCCTCCACCAATGCACTGCCATGCTGTAAGAGGTGCCACAGGGAGGGGCAAGGAAACATAAGGGAAGCCAAAGGAGAGCAAAGACAACGGCCTTCAACTTCCGAAAACTCAAATCATCCATGACTTGGACTATTTTTAAACGTTTAAAAGTGGGCGCTGTGTCAAAGAGGGAGACCCGGGCTCCAAAGAAACTTCAGTACCAGGAGAGGTTTGCACCTGTCTGGGTTCTGCAGTCTCAGCTGGGGTTCTGAAGGCCTTGCAGACTTGAAGGCTCACCCCTGGGGTTAAAAGAATGATGGTCACGGTAACAACAACATTTAAGATGACAACCCGGGGCTTGGCGCAGTGCCGACCACCCGTCAAATGTCACCTCCCCTAATTCTCACAATAAGGGGGGGCGGGGGGAGGGGGAGGGCTGTAACTGGCCCTGTTTGCAGACAAGGAAACCAAGGGCCAGAGTGACTAAGGTCACACCCTGGAAAGTGGCAGAGCCTGGACTCCTGCCCAGGTCTGCTTGACTGCAGTCTAGGTGTGCACCAGGCACCTCTAACCAGGAACCAAGGGCTGGCACAGAAAGGAAAAGTCATCTCAGGTCTCCAGCCTCAGGCCCGGCCTGCTCCTCACCACTGCTCCTCGCCACTGCACACTGTGTCTGTCTCAACCTCCACCCCCCGCTGCCCCCCCCCCCCCCCCCGCAAGCAACTCTCCCCACTTCCTTCCTCCTGGCCGTTCACTCACTTGCTCACTTGTTATCTTTCCGAAAGACCCTCTGCCTTCCCGCCACGTCTAGGGAAGAAGACGAGCTTCACCTGAAAGCCCTAGAAAAAACCTTTGTGTGTTGTCAGTTGTCCCAGATCCTCTACAAAGTCCAAGAAAGCTTCCAGCTTAAGTAAGGCTTCCTCAGAAAGTCCACACTGAATAACTAAGAGTCAGGTTTCCCTTCTTACAATGGAAAGTCAGCCCCCGCCTGGGTTCCCAGCCACTTTTGAGAATTAAAAGGCTTTGGGTATAGACATCAGGTTGACAAAGGGACATGCCCCCCCCCATGCACCTCTGTGGGGTGATCTTGGTTACACCCTCGTTCTATACTTTACCACCTCCTTCTTGTTTCCCTCCCAACCTCAGAGGTGCCCCAGGAGTCATTAAGTGGAGAACCGACAAGATCTGGCATCCTGCCACCCTCCATCCCCTCTTCACCCCCTCTAATTTCGGGGGTCACCCAAGATGCTCTGAAATCAGTGAAAGGGTCCAACTCCCAGGGAATCCCCTGCTCCACTCCTCACCTGGAAGAACTGGGAAGCAGTGTGCAGGCCATGCACCCCGAGAGGCCAGCTACAGGGGGATTGTCCACAGCCAGGCCCAGGCGCAGGTGGGGGGCTCCCCTCAGGGCCTGCCTAGCTCTCTCAGAGACTTGTGCTCCAAAAGAGCTATTTTCACCGTCCTATCTTAGGGCGGCTGTGAAAGCTAAGTTGCTTTCCTTTCTGTCTATACCGGGGATGACCATCTCTGGGGCCAGAGAACATGCCAGGAAAGAAGACTCAGGCCTCCTGTGTCCTGCACCGTGACATGCATTGTCCTGGGAACATTCTGGAGACCAGGCTGGAGAGAAGAGGCCAGTAGGCTCCTCTCAGCCTTCTGGACACTGACACTGGATGTCTACATAGAAGGGCCTCCTGCCTTGGGGAGAGAAAAACGCTACTCCGTGAAGCAAACTAGATTTCTAAAACTAGCCACCCTCTCAAATGAAACAGCATACACTGTAGGAATAGCAAAGCGTGCCCCCAGGTCCCGATGTGCCTATGAAAACACTCCAGAGACCAGATCAAACCCAGCACAGAGCACTGTACGAATAACCCCCATTCTCATTCCGAGTGTCCGCCATAGCTGCCTCCCTGGGAGGCCTGAGCCTGGGGTCCAAGCCTCAGCCTCTCGAATGGCCCCAGGACAGCATGCTTGTTTGCCAAAGAGACACCTGGTGGAATGCACCTCTGCTTTCTCAGCATCTTACAGGGAAGGACACAGGAACCCCCAGGGCCGGTGACCCCAGTCTGAATCAACAGGCAAACCCTTGAGGAGATCACCTGGCCAAGGAGGACTCAGAGGCCACTTCCATATCTGCCTAAAGCCTCCCTCCGGCCCCTCTCCAGCCCCGTAGCCCCCACACCCCAGGCCTCCAAAGTCCCCACCCCGAGCAGCCCCCTAAAACTTGCACCTGGGCCATACTCACATGCCCTGCTCCCCATACTGGTTGTAGAACTCCATGTGGCTGCACGCCTGAATCCAGCCGACAATCCAGGTCTCTTTCTTAGGGATGGGTGGCATGACCACCTGGGCCGAGGCACGGAAGTGGGGCGTCCGATAGCGCAGCACCACGCTGGAGGACTCATCGATGCTGGTGGGGATGGGGTCGATAGAGGCTTTCACATCAATCACCGTGATGCCTTCCCGGAAGACTCTGGCTTTGCCCCCGATGCTCTGAATACAGCCCATGGCACACAGTACAGCTCTGATCTCCAGGGAAGGCCAGCAGTCCCAGAGGAAACTGGGCATTGAAAGGATGGAGGCTGCCAGACCCAGCGCAGACAGGACTGCTCTCCAATCTCAAATCTCAAGACCGATATCCATAGGATAGAAAATTCACTGAGTGCAGGGGGTTTGCATATCACTATCTCGGGCCTGTTTATAAATAAGGACTTTGCTGCATTTCAAGAGCCCCAGGTTCTCTCTTCTTCTGCTAGCAGTGGACAAAAATCACCGATATTCTTTGGGTTTAAAAAAGGGAAAGTCTGGAGGCTAATGGATAATCATGTTGTTCAGACATCCAGCCCTTCCGTGCCTCACACGCGGGGAACGCAGCCCGGGGACGCTCCCTGAAGTCTTGGGGCGAAGAAGGCGAACGCCAGCAGACACATCAACGGGGAAGGCTCGTCCCCCTGCCGGTGCCGCTCGCTCGCTGCACAAGTCCGACTTCCTGGCCGCCCGCCTTCCGCACGCGCTCGCTCGGGGCACACGCGCCGGCCCCGGCCCCGGCCCCGGCCGCTCGCCCGACCGGGCCCAATCAATGGAAGAGCAGTTTCTGTCGGAGCGCGGAGGCCCTCGGGGGCGGCGCCGACCCGCGGCTTCCAGGAGGCGAGCGCCGGGCTCCCGCCGCCCGCGGGGTCCCCGTGGGCGCCCACTCGCGGGCGCGGGCCGACGCCCCCACGCGGGCGCACCGCGTCCCCCCGCCGCTGGGTTGCTGTCGCCGCCCGCCTCCCGCCGCCCGCCGCCCGCCGCCCGCCGCCGCGCGGGGCTCCGGGGCTGCACTCGGGCCGCCGCCTGGCTCGCCGCGGCCGCCGCGGACCTGGCGGGGGTAGAAGGGACAGGGCGTCAGGGCCCGCCTCAAAGTTGAACCGAACTTTGCTGCGGGGGGCGCGCGAGGCGGCGACGCGTGTGCGCGGGGCGCGGGCTGCGGCGCTGACGGCACAGCTCTGGGCGGTCTCCCCGGAGGCGGCGGCCCCCCCAGCTCCCGCCCGCCCCGTCAGTGGCGGCTGCACGACCGCGCGCACCAGCGAATAATCGCCGCCCGTGACATCTCCGCTGACACCCTCCCGGCCCAGGGGTGGCGTGGCGGGAGTGGGGGCGGCGACCGGTTGGCCCTGCAGTGGGCCGCGGGGACTTGCCGGCCCTGGCACAGCCCCCACCACCTCGCCACCGGCGCCGGCTCCGCTTCCCCGGCCGGGTCCCTCCGGCCCCCTGGGGGCGCAGTGTCACCCCGCACACCGGTCTGACCCGGCCGGGATCCCCCGACCCCGGAGGGCGCAGCGCCCCAGCCCCGCCGCGTCGGGCGCCTCTGTCCCCCCCCAGCCAGCCCCGAGCCGCCCCGGGTCCCCCGCGCGTCGGGCGCGCTCGCCGCCGCGGGGAACTTCGGCGCGCACGCCCCCACCCGGGCGGCGCCGCCGACTCACCTGCCCCTCGGGCCGCCCCGCGGGCCCCGGACGCCCCCGGCCCCCGCCGCGGGTTCGTCCTCGGGGCGTCCCCCCCTCCCCCGGGCAGTGTCCTTTGGCTCTACTGGGGTCCCGGGCGGCCGTGGGCGCCCCCGACCGCCACCTCCTCCTAGTTCGGGGCTGCCGGCGGGGTGGCCGGGGGCGGAGGGGTGAGGCTCGGGGCTCTCTCGCCCCCACCCCGCGCGCCCGCCTTATTTTATGATCATTGTGAGCGCGCTACCGCCGCTCAGCCCCGCGCCGCGCCGCAGCCGCCTGGCGCGCCCCGCGCTGCCTCGCTCCGCCGCAGCATCGGAAAGGCAACCAGGTCAAACTTTGCAGAAACTCAGCCCCTGCGCCGGCCTGGCCCCGCGTCCGCCCGCAGCCGCCGGCCGGAGCGCAGCGCACGCAGGCACCGCCACCCGCTCGCCGGCCGCGCGAGGATGCAGGTCCGCAGGCGGCGGCGGCGGCGGCGGGCGGCGCCGCCTCCTCCTCGCCGCCCGCCCTGCTCTCCACCCTCGCTCCCCGCACACAGCCCGCCCTCCCCCTGCTAAACCTCTCCCCGGCTCCCCCCCCACCCTCGCTCTCCCTCTGCAGCTTGTGGGGAGCTGAGCCTCTCCTTGCATAAACGACATTTCCTTTTTGGCTCGCCCCAGGAATTCTGGGTAGTGTAGTTCAGCTTCTGTCTCGGGTCCAGGTGGGCAGCCTCTCTGGGGAGGTCCTGGTATTGCACGGTCCTAGTATTCCTGGCCACGGTGAGGTGAGGCCGAGGCTGGGCGGAAGCAGTGCAGGGGCCCTGGGAGGCTCCAGGCCGGGAGGCTTGGGGTAGAGAAGTCTGGGGATAGGATCCCTGGGACTGAGCCTCTTGGCCCCCTGACAGGTGATCAGGCCCTTTGGGTCCCAGCTGTGATCAGTGTTATACAAGCTTCATTACTTCATCAGCCAGCAGCCAGAGGGAGGTCTCTTATGGGTACTTCACAGAGTAGGAATCCAAAGCTGGGGGACCCCAGAGACATGCCTGATACCCCACCCTGGCAGGTGTCCCAGCTGATACTGGAACCCCAGAAGTCTGAGTGCAGAGGTCCGAGGAGGGTTTGACCCTGGACAGCCCTGTGAACCTCCCTAATCGACCTCAGGCCAATAGCCCCACCCCCACTTACAATTTACTCCCCTAGGGAAAGGCCAGGTGGTTTGTGACATCAGAAAACCTGGCAAGCCACATTAGAGCAATGCTCTGCCTCCCCCCCCCCCCCCCCCCCCCCCGTGATTCTGACTTCCAAAGGTCCCCACAGCCAGCTGGGGAGCAGGTCGTTGGGCCATTCTCTAGCCAGAGCATCTTGAGTGCCAGTGAGGGCAGGAGCTGGAGAGGGAGGATTCCAGCCACTTTGAGGTCTCTTCTTTGAGGGATGATCAGCCAGGTCAGGTGATCTGTCACATGTCAACACCAGCCTAGACCACAGGTACCTTATTTCTCATCCTGTTGATGAGACCCAGGGAAGGTGGCCCTCATGACCTGTTTTCTGCTGCAGAGTAGAACCCCAGACAGCACAGGTCTCCCAGGGACCCCGTGTAAATGTCCATTTCCAGGATGATTTCCCTGGCCTCGTAATGCATACTGGTCTCTCCCAAAGCATTCTGCCCTTCTGGGACTCACTACAGCCCTCAACACCTCCTTTGCCACCAGATGATTATTATGCAATTCAGTTTATATGCAGGTAAGATATCCCTTGGGGATGTCTATCCCATCACCCCAGTACCCTGAACTGAGCAGACCCCACTGGCTAGGTACTCCCCGAGGTACAGATGCCATTCTGCTGACAAGGACTTGGGTGCTCTGTGAACATGTGCTGAGCTGCACACTTTTCTCATTTGATGTGAAAAGGACAGAGGCCAGAGCCTTAACCTTCTCAATAAATAGCCAAACCCCTAGAGATGATGCTGCCTGAGTACACACTGACCCTGAGAGGTGGGCTATACAGAGACCGTGGGGGGGCTGGGGACAGGAGCTCTTCAGAGTCTGGATTCCCAACCAGATCTGGCCAAGTCCAAAGCCCGTTCAATTCCTTCCTCCGGGGATGCTGCCCTTGCCAGCTGGGGCCAGCCCCTCTGAACAGGATGGAACTGACCCCTAGACATCCCTGTCTCTCGTGAGTCCCGCGGGAAGAGGTGCTCAGGTGCCCACTGGGTGAGGACTCTTGCAAAATAGAAGCCCCCTCCCTATTAAGCTCAGCCCCAGAGACTCCTCCCCTTACACACTCACACACCCATGCAGTCCTTTCTTTGTGAAGGCTAGCTTCGTGGGAGGAGGGCTGAGGCAGTGTTTGTGGACCTGTTTGCCAGGCTCTGAGCTGAAAAGTGCTCCCCGCAAGCCAGCCCTGACCTATGGAGGGTCTCTCCGGGCTGGGCTCTTGCACATACCCTGTCCTAGCTGCTGCTGGGCCCTTGAACGATCTGGCTGCTTCCCCAACTCTCAGGCCCCTCTGGCCCTCCAGCCTCCTGACTCAGTCTTTCTCCTGCTCAGCATTTTCTGGAGCTCTGTGGGTGTTGGGCACACACCCATGGCTGCCTCAGCATATGTGGAAGGCCCAGGGTGCATCCACATGTGTGTGAAGCACTGGCATCTGCAGAACAGAGGAAGGGGACATCTGGTGATAACATACCCAACACCATAGGGACACTTGCATTGCCCCCCCCCCCCCCCCGCTTCGCTGACCTTATCCCCTCCCCAAGACCTTGGTCTCCCTAGAATCTTCCGTAAAGTCTCCAGTGGATAGGAGAGAAGGACTGGGTGCACAGCCCCAGTGCCGGCCCGGAGATGAACTCCCCAAATGCCAACTTGGGGACCCAAAGTATGGTCCATCAATTCTGGCTGGGCATGTTGGCCCAGAGAGGCCATGGAAAACCAGCCATACAATAAATCAGAGATCAAAACTACATCACCCTGCCCAGCTAGGTTTTCATGTGCAACCCAAATAAGCCAAGATTTCCCCAAGGTCTGCGGAAAGACCTGGAAGATGCAGCTTTCTCCTCATGAGCATCACTGTAAACCATCACACATATCCTCTTCATGGCTCTCCACAGTGAACACACCATGCCATCCTGTAGCTGAGACACGGGAGGGTGGAGGGTGGGGGTGGGGCAGATGGTGGTATGGATTGCACTCAGCAGCCTGGCGCTAAGACCCAGAGGCTAGTGATTCAAGGTAGCAGGCTGCTCACTGGTGTCCCCCGTCGTTGGGGGTGGGGGTTGGGGGCTTTTATGGCCATAGTCTCAAGGCTCCTTCTCCCTCATTGGCCAACCTGTGTCTCAAGGCCAAAGCCAGTCCTTCAAGAGCTCTTGGCCTCCAAGGGTGTGGTCATCATGGGACTAGAAAGGCATTTCCCAGGAAGGAAAAGCCCTTGTTCTGCAGATGGTAATGTTAATGCTGGAATTCTGTTGCCCTGGGAAACAGGGTTCTCTCCTTAACTGTTTGGGACCAGACTGGAAGCCAGTGGTAAGGCTTGGAATGTCCACCCGGGGAAACAGTGAGCAGGGGTGGAAGGCCAGACAGATGGCTGGAGGCAGGGCACTGGGAGCCAGGAGGTGGATCCGGCTGCTGGCCCACCTGACATCACTGATGCACCCCACCTCTGTAGGGAGTGGGCTCAGGCCTGGCCCAGTGAGCAGGAACTGGTTGTCAGAGAGGGTCCCCATATTGGATCCTAGATCATTCCCCATTAAGAGGCAGTGGTATGATATGAGAAATGTCTGGGAGGCGCAAGACCAACTGCCCTGCGTGGCTGCCCATCTGGAGACAAAGTGCCTTTCCGGCCAGACATTCAGAACCACTTTTCTTCTAGGGTTGTGACTTCTCAGATGGCCCTTCCATCATCCGCACGTGCCTTCTTCCCCAGTACTGACTGGACATTTGTGCTCGGCTGGGCGCTCAGAGGACACTAGGGACCCAGCCTGGGCCAGGACAGACTGCAGGCGTGGTCCCCATGGCACTCACGTCCCGTGGGCCACAGAGACGTCAGGGCAAATCCAGGAATAATGAATGGAGGTATGAATTAATGTGAATAATATATAAGTACAGATTCATACTTGAAATGGTTACAAATAAGTATTGATTGCTGTAAATCAGATATACAGAGTAAATTGTTTTGATTTGTGTGTGTCCAGTGTTGAGCTTGGGGAAGGATAGGGTGAAGGTAACACTTCCAGCAGTGTGAGGGGTGTGATGTCGTGTGTAGTAAGCATAGTAGAGGAGGTT